GCGTGATTAAGGCCGAATTGTACATCATTGAGGCCGTTAATTAGAATCTCTTAACTTCACTTGCTGGTCAAACTGTATACTTTATGTGTGTTGAATGTCAATCAGGTTGTACATAGTCGAAGCATAAAATGGACAAAAAGACAAAATTTGGAGAGAGTTGACTTTCCCGCACGTGCATTGACTTTTTCTGGGAAAATGTGCCCGACGTTTTAAACCCGTTTGGAAGAGATCAGAAGTATAAAAAGGCAAGGAAAAGGCTGGAATAGGGTTCTGAACTTGTTTTGACAAAAGAGAGAGGCTAGGGTTTGGGAAAGAAAGAAACTTGAAGCTTCAAACATGTCTCCCATGGTGGCTTCTTCTCCATCTACCTCCTTCCATTCTTCCATGAGTGGCTAGTCTCCTTTTCTAGGGTTTTGAAGAAACCCTAGCCATGTAATTAGTTTTTCTTTTTGATTTTCAATTATGTAAAGGTTTGAACATTTGTATGGTGGTTTAGATTATTTCTTCAAGTATTCGGCTTTCTGTGATTGTTGAATGTCTTCTATACAAGAGTTTTCTATTTCTTTCACATTCAAGGTATGAGACGAACCATACTACGAGGGACGAGTCGTGTCACTACCTTAGTTTAGAGTGAACGATTTGTACTACTTGAGATGGTTTGTGCTTGTACATTGAATGTGATGATCTTCTTGTTAAATGCTTTAAGCTTATAGTTGCGAAACATTAATTCGTTCGAACCATAACATAATTGTTTTCAATTTGAAAACCCTATTTACGTGACTAGTGGTGGACTCTTTACCCTAGGTTTTTCTCCAAATCAGTAAATCCAAATCAGTAAATCTAATTTCATTTATTATTGATAATTTAATTCCTTAATTTAATTTATTTTTTATTAAAGTAGGTTATGAACAATAAATCTTTTCGTCAAAATTAATTTAGGAATTTAACAATTAAATTAGTTTAATTTCACAATTGTCCCTGTGGATCGATACCTAGACTTGCCATTATTCTAAAAGAATTTGGTGTAGTTTAGTGTTTATATTTGGTGTATTCAACGACCCATCAGTAAGGCTTGAACATTCAAATTGGTTTTAATACATTTTTAATAAACACGATAAATTAAAGCAATATTATGAACCTTTTTTTTTCGTATTTGTAAATGAGCCATGTAATTGAATATTTAGAGTTAAAGCATCTAATATATGGGGGTCTCTAAGACTAAGAGTGAAATCAGGAAAACAATTAAAATGGACGGGTCCTTTGTGAAGACCAGTTTCCATCATACCCATTAAGCTATCATTATAATCAAGAAAACGAGTATCTCTTAAGCATAGTAAAACAGAAGTATTTTTACCTTGTTGTATTAATGGTTTGATTTCAACCTGAATTAATCCTAAATGAATAAAATTGTGACCAGTTTTTAAATGTCGTTTAATAGTATTAGCATCAAATAATTGACATGTTTCTCTAGGTTTTTCTAAAGTATAGACTTGTTCTAAAGTTTTAACATAAAGATTAACATTAAATATATTTTGTATAAAAGTAGTTTTATAAATTTCTTTGATTGGTAAACGTGGTATATTCCAACTTAAATCAATTTTATCATTTTGTATTTCTACATCTTCTTCATTGATTACTAAACCTTGATTAGGTATAGAAGGCAAAATTATTGACCTAGAACTAACCGATGAATTACTTCTAAATAATCGACTCATTTTATCATGAAATAGTTTATAGTGAGCTCAATACATTGTTTAATTTTATCATGTTTTCACATATGATATTTTCACACATACCCAGTTCGGAAAACCCCTGAAATCCTACGCTGCTCTAACCAAAGGACTTACCTAGGACTTGGGACGAAGGATGTGTGGCTAATAGCAACATGGAAAGACACGGATATAAATTGGACAGATTAAGACTGTAAACAATTTCAACACAGGAGAATGAATAGATACAGAAATAATGATTCAGTGAGTAACAGAATACAACATAACTTGGCTCTGATAGTAACATGTTACTTTATCTGATAGTAATATGTTACTGTTACAAAAAACAAAATATATACAAGATGAAATAACTAAAAATACATATACACAACATTTTTAAATTTATATAAAATAAAATAAAAGTATTCCTTATCAAAAGAGTTATGCGATATATATATATATATATATATATATGTATGTATGTATGTATGGGTACTATTGTCTGTGAAATTTTTTTTATTTTATTCTTACTCGATTATGCACCTTGTAGACACCCCATTTTTGACCGTCCTCAAGACTTGGACGTCACCGCTTGAACACTCGGTGATCATCCATGTTTGTGTTCGTCTTGAGTTCCCGGAGGCCTCGGCTGCGCGCCTTGCCTCAGGATCTCTCGACTCGACCGTTTTGTGTCTGGTTTTGCACCAAACACTTGTGTTTTTGCTTTGGAGGGCAGGGAATGGCTTTTGGGACATCCCCACATTCCACGGGCCATAGCTTGA